GAAGTTGGACAGTGGAGTAGCTCGCAAACGACGCAATTGGGCCACCCAGCAAAAGGCTGATGTTAACAAGATAGAATTGGCGAACCAGCTGAAGAGGTCCTGGCAGAACTTATTGAAGGATCATTTTGAAGAGGCAATGAGGACACCCTCATCAGCACCGCCATTGATGGCGAATCCCTTCGTTAGAACCGCAGGACAATTGATGTTCACCTGGAGTCTGGTGGGAATAGAGTTGGAGACACTGACCTCGTATGACAGGTTGAAGTTGGGAAGCAAGAAGCTAGAAGTGTATCAAGCACTGATGCAGCACGTGGCCAGGGATAATTCAGGCTTGAGCCTGGCTAGGAGGAAGGATGCCGCATGTTTCTTGAGATGGATAATGTCAATGATGTCTGATAGCACCATCTTGGCGTGCTACCAAAGAGCAAGCGGAAGTAGAACCGTGCAAAAGAGAGTCTCAACGATCATCTTAAACCTATATCAGAGTACTGGAATAGAAAAGGAAGATGGTTCCAGACTATCCCTAGAGAACCACAGAAAGCTGGACGAGGTACGGAGGTTTTACAATAAGAAGTTCGAAGAAGAACATGATGTTCACCGTAACCTGGCCTCGCCAGAGCAGTACTCGAGACTCAGTGAGAAGGGGGAATACCAATACGTGTCGGGAGTGATGGGGATAGCCTACAACACCTTCTTAGACTCAGAAACTGGAGGCGCTCACAGGAACCACGAGGTAGCGGAGCTGCTGAAGTTTTGGACAGAAAAAATAGTGGAAATAGACGCGGTGGAGAAAGAGAGGCCGAGCCTGGGCCTGATTCTTGAGAAAACACCGGAGGTGGTGAGCATACCGCGCTGGAACAAGAGAGTTGAAGTGAACATGGGTGATGGCAATGGCTTGTTGATCACGAACTTGGGAGTGGTATGGAAGTTACTAAGACCCTCCTGGTGCCCACATCCCCACGCGAGTCTGATCGAGGAGACCACCGAGCGGGTGAGGTTAGCACCAACGGAAGATGAAGATTTGGCAAAGTTGAGTGTGGTGCACAAACTGATCTTACCTCAGATGAAGGAGTCAGGCGAAAAGACGAACAATCTCGAGTCAGCAAAGAAGATGGAGCCGGGTAGCTGTCTGGATTCTACGTGTGGGAGTGGAGAGCACACCTGCGATGGACAATCATGTGTCAGGATACTGTCCTTTCAAAAAGAAGATCTGGTTACTTGGTTTGAAGACATCACGGAAAGGGAGAAAAGTGAAGTACAAATAGTGGCGGAGTGTTACGCGAGAACTACGGTGAACATAGCGACAGCTCTCGGATTCTTCTCGAGAATGTGTAGTCTGCAGTCACTGGAGAGGCTAGAGTCTGAACACCATTTAGTGACGGCGTTGAGCGTGGAATCATGGCCTGGGGTGTTGCAGGTGACTCAAAAACATATCCGGAGCTGGAAGGTTGGTCTCGAGGCGGAAATGGGGTTTCCCATGAGCGAAGCTTATGGCCTGCCATTGAACGCAAAATCTCTGATAGGGTCAATGATGGCCAATTTGTGCGGAAGCCACTACCCACTGCACATGGCGATGGTGGAAGCATCCAGCCAGAAAATATTGGTGGACAAGGCCTTCTCAGTGCCCAAGTGCGTGAGGTTGGCTCGGGTATCGCATCACTCGCACAAGTTGTTGAGGAAAATCAGAGGGACAGTACCGAAAGATTTGAGAGATGACTTGAGTGAAATCTGGGGAGAAGAGCTTTTGAAATTGGAAAGTGAGAACACAAGCGATCACGAGAGACAAAACGTGATCGGAAAACCTGTGGGGGGTGCTCCAAACATGGGAGAGAACGACACGATGCATGAGAAAATGATAGAGCTTGAGCCTCTCTTGGAAGCCTCGGGGGAGCGTAACCTCAGGAGCATTGAGATCACCCATGGAGAATGCCCATGCCACTGTTTGGCACAAACGGTGTGGTATCCAGATCACAAGAACCTCTGCCTGGTGTGGGATATGGAAGAAGTTCGGTCGATCGGATTACCGGATCACCGGCAGAAGGTGACGCTCTTAGTTGTGAGTACGATGCTGGCTCTGAGATGGATAGAAGAGAATATAACGAAGTATCGGGAAGCGAAGACGCCAACGGCTGAGTCAATATATGCGAAAGACTACAGCAGGAGACTCGAGTTGTTTGAGACTGCATGCAAAGTATTCGCCATACCAATGGAAGTCAGACACGTATGGAGCCGCTTGAGGTACTTTCCATGGTTTCGAGCGACACTGACGTCTTGGTTATACATGACAACGAAATATCACATGAGAAAGCATCAAAAAGAGTATCGACAGTTCCAGGCCGAGATTGGGCCGGAAGCTTTCAAGAGACCCCTGTTAACCCATCGAAATGCGATCACGACAGGATGGAAAAGAGTGGATAAAATGTCTAGAGACAATACCAAAGCGAGGTAATCGATACTAGAGGAGGACTTGGCGAAGAACGTGAGCCTGAGCCTGCACAACTCCTTTTGTTTGAACCGGGAATCTAGGGTGAAGGCACTACCCAACCAGGCAAAGAGGTTGCAGGAGCAAAGGGAATGGATGCGATCCTATGAACAGCTGAAGGCTTGGGAGGAGATCGTGATTAGCTCCGATGATGAAGAAGAACTATTGAAACAGTTTGCCGTATCTAGTATCTCAGGGTACGACACCTCCAAGGCGAAGAGTGCGAAATGAGCGGATGGTTCAAAGAGATCTTGAGTCTTGAGAGGGAAGGGGGGCTTGAGTGTGAATCCGGATGAAACCTGGGTTCACGAAAAAGAAATTTTAACGAATCAGGTATTGTTATTAATATGTTATATTTACTATGTAAATCAAAATGCTGCATGACAATTTCCTGATTGAATGGGACAAAAGAAATTTTAAATAATTGGCTTGAAAAGCGAGAATTGAAGGGTGCAGGTGTGTGCAGATTTTGATTGCTGTTTAGCGATAGTGTGAAGATTTTACTTGGCCGTGAATTTTGGGATGTAGATAAGCTTAAGTCTGCTGCAAACTTCTGTAAATGACCACTGGCACTGTACCTTGAGCAACACTCGGTTTTCTGGGACTCACTGGCAGACGACAGCACGCGATGAGGACATAGATCTTGAGTCCGGGGAGTATGTGCCAGTCGGTCATATTTGGAAGTTTGACCTTGAGAAAAACAAGAACGCTTAATTTTGGAGTGAAATTTGATTTTTCAAAAATTCGAATGGAGCCTGTCATGCACGATTTTCTTGCGATAACTGAAAACCGAAAAAGAGAAATCAGAACGATCGAGTAACAATCGCGGGAAAGTTGCCAGACAAAGCAGTAGGAAATTGCCATTCGCAATTTCCGTCACAATAAAACTAGAGTAGAGCTGTCCTATCTGAAACAGAAGGAAGCGTATTCCCGAGAATTGGACTATTATTACTCGACTGGATTATCATTCAAACTGGACTAGAGTGAACCTTCGATGGAAAGGTGGACAGCTTGAGTGTCCCAATGGTTCACGAGAAACCATACTATAGAGTTCAAACTTGGTCCTGTTATTGAAACTGATAAACATTAAACTCATTTAGTTACATTATTTAATTCTCGAGTTGATTACCGACTTAATTACTCCCAGTTCTTGAGCGTGCTACGATGTGAGTACTCAATTTAAATTTCTAAAGTGTGTTTTATGATTGTTATGCTGAGGTAAGGCGAGTTTTAGGTTGATCCATCTGAAATGGATCAAAGTTCCACTGTCTGATAAAAAGTAACTTAACGGATTGTTCTGACCCGGTTTTTAACGGCGTTCATGTATTTTGGGTATCTAGAGACCTAAGTATGGGGACGTTCTTATTTCTAGAGTGGGGGGATATTTTGGTAGTAGCCTTTAAGCTGTAACGGGTTGTAGTCTCATGTCACAAGCGAACCGAATTGGCTCCGACTGATTTGAGGTAGAAAAACACAAGAGATAGTGTCCCTGACTCTTGAGCCAATGGTTATAGGGCCTATTTTTCTTAAGCCTCATGTGTGACTACAGTAGACGAATGTTACATTTCTTGCAGGTTTCGTTACACTTGAGTATCGGTTTCAGAGGCTTTTTGAGGTTAGGGCTGCAATTCGGGTGTGTTATCCGTATGTCGGAGAAAGACTTTTGCAGCGGGCGCCCGGAGCTCCGACATGAGACATCAAGTCTTGGATTTTCTTCGGAGTTCACCGAGTATGGGAGAGTGTCTGTGCCTGATGTTGGTTGAAGCATTGGCTCAATCACAACATCCTTACAAACATTTGTAAGCAGCTCTGCCTCCAGATCCCTCACAGCATTGTGCCTCTTGATAACGAAGCCTCCTAGCTGGCATATCGAGGCATGGTCATTGCTGTTTTCTTTGCCACATTCGCGATTCGCAAGTGCGCGGTAGATCTTTGATTGGCCTGCCATATCTTAAGCTTTTTGCATCTCGGAATGTCTCTCTGTTGTTGTTGTTTTTGCTCCGTGGACTGCTCTGAGAATATCTCCGCGAGTTCTTCTACGACTAGTAGGGGTTTTTTCCACAAATCTTCGATGGTAGCAGATATTGGGTTGGCCGGGCAGTTGAACAGATGATGGCAGTCTTCGATGCTGGAGTTGCATTTGCTGCAGAGCTCTGATTCAATGTCCGGTTGTAATCGGTGTCTGGTTTCGGCTAGTTTCCATGAGAAACCTGATCTAAGCTGACACAAAATTCTTCTGTCGTAACGTCTCTCTGTTAAAGTCCTCTCTGAAGTACATATCGTGATCTTTCGATGGTAGTGTGGTTGGTCATGTAGATGTGCCTTTTGTTTGGAGGAGTTCGAGGTGGCGTTTTCTTCTATCGTCTGTTTTCCCAGGATTCGGAGGATAAACTCTGCTATATAAATGCCACACGGCGATATTAAATGTACGTGGAAAGCCTACTTGAAGGGATGCAACCCTCAAATGAATGTTTTAGATGTTTTTTTTGTCTGATTTATGAATAGAAAATTGTTTCAGATGAGTTCTTATATGTGATGGCGCAGACAACTGATGTTGAGATGACCGAAGATGGTAAATATATTGAATTTTCTGCAAAATATGTTGCCAACGTATTGCCATATTGAATCTCTGCAAATGTTTTTTTTTGTGCATTATTTTAGGTGAAAAGTCTGCTCCTTGTTCTCCAAATGGAACTGGATCTCTCAGCACATCCAAAGGACAAACTGCAATGAACAGTTCGATGATAGCGAAGTGTATTGATAGAATAAAAAACTTGAATGAAACTGATGTGATGCTGGATAACAAAACCATCGGGGACAAGATGACTCCCGGCTCAGTTGCTGCCTCAAATCTTCCTAACCAGTTCTCCGACGAAGAAATGGACATCGGTTAGAATTAGTTAAGCTGTATTTGCTAAATGTCATTGCAAGTAGTTATTTTTGCGTGATAATTATTTTTTTGCCTGTTGAATCCAATTCCCCGGGAAAAAATAATATTAAAGGTATGTTTTTCCCTAGACAACGATGACTTTCGTTCGGATGGAGAAATCAGATTTGTAGCGACAGGAGTAACTAAGTGGAAAGATCAGGCACACAATTTGTCGGAGGCGGTTATGGTCAGAAACATGCCCTGGTTAGTGTCTCTGATTGTTATATTTTGACGAATTTTTAACGAATCGCTTGTTTATGCATTAAAGAAATCATTTTTTTTTAGGAGAATTCTTCTGATGGCCAGACCTGGACAAGGACATGGGGGACAAGATCCAGCCAGTGGAAGAACCCTTGGATTTTTCCTGCAGTGCAATGGCGAGAACGAATCTAACACCTGGAACATTCACGCATCTGCAGAATTATCAATTGTAAACCAGGCCAGTCCCGAGAAAACGCAACCTAGAAGTGAGCCTATTATTTCGCAAATGAGAAAATCTTGCATATTAGGAGCAGGCGTTGACTGTTTGTTTGTTTAGGGATAAATCACACATTTTATGCAAAAGAAAACGACTGGGGCTACTCTAACTTTCTGTTATGGAAGGTATGACTCTTTTACCATGATAACCATCAAGTAAAACTTGACTCATTCTTTTGAGAACTTATCATTGAGGCAACAGGCAAAAAACTAAATCAATTGAAAAATTAATCGAGTAACCAGAGTGTTGTGGGCTATCTAAAAAGAAACTGCACATTTAAGACGAAAGAGTGCCATTTTTGTAGGAACTGATCGACCCCGTTAAAGGCTGGGTGAAGGACGACACACTCATAGCCGAGGCAAAAATGCACGCAGATGCCCCACATGGCGTTGATTGGGACTCTAAAAGGTAAGCAAAAAAAAAACAGTTAAAATCATCCAAAGTTAGATACCCTTGCCTGAAATGCTTCAAAAATGCATGTTCAGTGAGCGATTTAAACGAATGTCACAGAAGTGGATTGAAAGGAGGTCGGTGTTTGGTAGTGCACGACTACCTCACTGCTCAGAAGTTTTCATTGTTGATACCATTATTGGCCGATCTACCCAGTTAACGTTGAAAGGCGCTCTCGTCTCCAATACACTATAATCATGAAACTGCTTTGAAGGAAATGCGCGCCAGAGAAGAGAGAAACCCGAAAAACTATTGATTAAATACGCCTTCGTCTTTTAGTTTTTTTTGGAATTTCCGTGTCTTGGCGTTTTTTAACTGGTGTTTGCGAAGTGCAGCTTTGCCTCTGTGTAAATTTTGTTAGCACTGATTTAACTTTGGCAAATGTGTTTAATGTCTCAAGGGTTATTTTGCCCGAGACACGAATATAAAAAACTGACCTCTGTAACAATTGCTTCAACTCGTGGTTTTTTTGACTAGCTACCATGCTTTTTTTCTGTTTTTTTGCTACCATGCTTTTTCGACTAGGTACCTTGCTTGTTAAGTTACGTAATGTCAGTTCAATATTATTTTTGATTATGTTTTGACTAATTTAGACTAACTGGGTTTGTGGGACTAAAGAACCAAGGGGCGACATGCTACATGAACAGTCTGCTGCAGAGTCTTTACTTCATCTCGCGGTTCAGAAAGGCTGTCTACCAAATGCCGACAGAAGGCGAAGACTCCACCAAGAACGTCCCATTGGCGTTGCAGAGAGTGTTCTATGAGCTACAGCTGTCGTGAGTCTCATTTTGGTTTAATTGTCATGTCAGTATAAAGCTGCACGAAATTGCGCATGTTTGGTGCTTGGGGATGATTAGTCAATATATATTTTGTTTCATATATTTTGATGTATATAGTTTCAGCGGAGGGAGAATAAGGGTGTCTTGAGTTAAAGTTTGGTGAACGGTGAAATGAAAAATTTAGAAGATGCTTCTTAATCCGCTTCATAATTCAATTTGCATTGATACAATATAACTTCAATTGTAGCTACAGACTGCTCATAAAACATGGTTAAAGGCTATTTTAACGTCTTTAAGGACTAAGTCGGTTGCGACAAAGAAGTTGACTCGTTCCTTCGGCTGGGACAACCTGGACTCGTTCATGCAGCACGACGTGCAGGAACTCACTCGGGTGCTCATGGACAATATCGAGACGAAGATGAAGGGATCCCACGTGGAGGGAGTGATTCCTGAACTGTTTGAGGGAAAGATGCTGGTCAGTGCAATGAAAAGAATTTTTTAGAGTCAATGAACGTAGTGAAGTCTCTTAAATCGGTCGCGATGTTTTTTTTTTGTGGAAAAAGTCAAATTTAATTTTTCGCGGATTGACGTTTGATTTCTTTTTACTTCATGTTCATTTTTTATGTTAAAAGGAAGGCAAGCTCACTAAAAACGTGATCGACTTCAAATTCAAAGAGCTTAAAGGCCATAGATTTTTTAAATTTCGAAAGTTGAAGTTTTACCAAACGACAAGTTAATTTTTTTTCTGTTTCTTTGCGTTCACGGATTTTTTTTTATTTCACTGTTGGCTATGATTTATGAGTCGATGAATGTAGTGAAGTCTCTTGGGTAGGTCTTAGTGATTTTTTTTTGTTTTTTTTTTCAGGAAAGTCATAAAAATCTCTAGTAACATCAGAAGTGCTTTCATACATAGTAAGGCATTTTTGATTTCAAGTAGATATATATGCAATTTATGAGTTCAGTTCATTTTCATCAGCTGAAAGTTAGGTAAGTTGCGCTCCCCAATTACGAAAGTGTAAATTTCACGAAAAACTTGATCGACTTTTGTTTCGAAAGTGGAATCTAATTTTCTATTTTTCGGCGGAAAAAAATCTGTACCTATTGCTCAAGTTTTTTTTCAGATTGAGGATGAATTGTATCAAAAAAGTGTCAATCATTTCTTTAATCTCTAGGTGGAAGCGCTTGTTGTTGATACTTAAGCCGGAATTTCGTAGATAAAATTACTTTGCATAAAAATTAAGATTTACAACTCTTGATATCAGCCAAATAGTAGCCAGTCGATGAATGGAGGCCATAATAAGTGTAGTGTCTCTACATGTTGTTTTGCAAACTAAGACTAATGCTTTCATGAAAAGAATAATAAAATGGAAGAAAAATGATTTTTCGAAAATGTATGTAAGAGCCGATGAACGTAGTGTATTGATGCATTTACGGTATATATGCAATATTTGAGTTCATTTCTTTTTCATCTGCTAAAAGTTAGGTGAATCGCTCTCTCCAAAAAAGAACCTGTTAATGGCACGAAAAAACGTTAACGAATTCTAGTTTCGAAGGTGGAAGTTAATTTAAGATTTCCCGGCGGAATAAAAGTTTTGCTCTCTGTTGCAGTTTTTCAAATTGAGTTAATTTTACCAAAAAAGCATCAAAGAGGGTTAAGGCCATATTTTTTTTTTCGAAAAAAGAGTATTACAAAATTAAGGCAGTTTTTTTTCTGTTCCCTTGCAATCATTACTCTGCGGAATAAAAAATTTACCCATTGGTCTAGTTTACTCAAGTTGGGTTAATTTTGCTGAAAAAGTGTCATTAATAGTTTTTTTTGAAATTCAAAAAGCTGAAAGATCAAATATTTCTTCAAAATTTGAAAATTGAAATTTTCTCATAAAACAAGTTAATTTTTTTTTCTGTTTTCTTGCGTTCACAGACTTTTTTCCATTTGCCTGTTGGCTATGATTTTATGAGTCGATGAATGTAATGAAGTCTCTTAGGTAGGTCTTAGTGATTTTTTTTGTTTTTTTGTCAGGAAATTTTTAAAATTCTCCAATAACCTCAGAAGTGCATTCATACATAGTAAGGCATTTGTGGTATATATGCAATTTTTGAATTCAATTCATTTCATCTGCTAAAAGTTAAGCAAATTGCGCATTCCAAATACGAAATCGGAAAAGACGCAAAAAACTTGATCGATTTTTTGTAGCAAAAAAGAGCTTTAAAGTCATTTTTTCTGTTCCAACTTTCGCAGAAAACGGAATTTTTTTGTTTGGTGTTTTTTTATTCGGTCAATTTTTGGCGATTGAAGTAAAAGTTTTTAACAAATTGCTTCACAGCCTATCAAAGTTATCGACTCCCTGAAATCAAATGTAAAATTTATTTTACCTTCGAGCTTTTTTTTGCAAAGTTCTGAGAGTTTGAAAATAGCCAATTTGGCCATGCTCTGGAATAATTTATGTATGCACTCTTTGAAAACATTATTCGTAATGCTGACAGCTTAACGCGAGGTATTTATGCGTGGTGATTTATCCCACACTAAAAATTGTTCAAAATTGAATTAAGGCTGGCTAATTGGTCGTATTAATTTTGTATGACTAGGATTTTCACTAGGACTTGACCTTATGTCGTTCAAAATTCATAGTTTTTCACAATATTTTCTTTTACTAAAAACTATTGTAGACCAATTAAAGGGCAATCGGAACATTCTTGGATCTGCTCTGATATACGAACACTCTTGTTTACTTTGAAATTCGAAAGTTGAAGTTTTGTTCACAAAACAAGTCAGTTTTTTGTTTTGCGTTCATTGACTAATTTCCAACTGCCTGTTGGCTATACTTTAAATTGGAATTATAATTCAGGCTATAGTGCGTTAAAAATTAGTTGGTTTAAGAAAGAAATAATTTTTATTGGTGAAAATGACTGGATGGGTTGAGTTTGACGCTTAGATATGAAAGTACATGGAGAAGGCACCCTGTGATAGCTTTACAAATATTTTACGCTCGCTTGAAACTCTTGATTGTTTCAGTCGTACATATCATGCAAGAATGTTGACTACTCTTCGTCAAGGGAGGAGCCCTTCTACGACATTCAACTGAGTGTCAAAGGAAAGAAAAACGGTCAGTTGTAGATAAGTCAAGTAGCAGCTTGAAGTAACTGGGGCGCAATGCATTGTAACAAACTAAATTGTTTAGGTCAAGGCGAAAGAACTTAATAACTGTTAATGAACGAAGTTAGTTTTCGCTTGTTCAGTTCCTGTGGTTTTTTGTTACGCTCTTTGATATCAAAATGAGATGGCGCTAAAAACGGATCTTGAAGTTGAATATCAAAATTAACTTGTGTTTAGAATTCTTGTTTGAATAATAGATTCCCTTGCCGTTAGCCCAGCCTCAAAGTGCTCTGATGTATAAAAAATAGGTCACTCATAACGTTTTATTGAAATTAAAAGAGATATATGGGTGCAATTTTTTCATTTTCATCATTTCATTAGCTCTTTCCCAACTATTGGCTATGGCTCAAAATAATAATCTAATAATTTTTTCCAGTGTATGAGTCGTTCAAGGAGTACGTGGCGATAGAGACTATGGACGGGGACAACAAGTATGACGCAGGGGCCCATGGACTGCAGGATGCAGATAAGGGAGTCATCTTCACGAAATTCCCACCTGTGCTTCATCTTCATCTGATGCGGTTCTACTTCGACTACCAGACAGAGCAGAATGTGAAAATAAACGACAGGTTTGAAAGCAAATAATATGAGTAATAAGATGCTACGGTTGTAGGTCAAGTCATACTCGGCCCAGTCGTTGCTAGGCTCATTCTAAAAATAGCCTAAAGTACAAGTATGATAATTGGGACCCTGGAAAAGCAATTATGAAAGATGAGGGTACTTTAAAAGCCTCGTTTAGAAGTATGGTCTCACAAAACGTCCCATATAAAAGTCAGATATAGCATTTTTTACAGGCATTTTCTAAGTTTCGCCTGTGAACTGATCTTTTTGATAATTCCATTTTAAATAAAACATTAGTCGCATAGGTAACGAAGAAATGATAAAAAGTTTTCCTTTTGCTTTCATCAATTGAAATTATGTTAAGTATATTTTCGTGGCCTGGCGGGGCCATACTTGTAAAACGAGTACCAAGATGAGCGCCGTCATTTTTTTGAAAAGCTGAGAAACGATAGCTCAGAAACAATTTTTTTCAGGCACCCATCGTCTTTTAGTGGCCCATTTATCATACATATAGATAGCCCGTGCTACTATTTGAATAAGAATGTGTTTAATTTAGCCTGTATGTTCAAGTTTAAAGGCTTTAAAAAGTATTTGTTGTGACTAATTAGGTAGACTTTTGATGGGTAGAGATAATATCCTGCGCTTGTGTGCGTTATATTTCTGAGTGGCTTCTATCTGCTTTTTTTTACAGATACGAGTTCCCACAGCGACTGAATCTAGATCCCTTTCTGAAGGAACCAGGAGAAACACCTGCCAGATACATCCTACATGCAGTACTAGTCCACACTGGGGACAACCATGGCGGACACTATGTAGTCTACATTAATGCACTGGGAGACAATAAGGCAAGCAGTTTCTGTATACACTTGATGGTTTCTCATCAAGCGTGAATAAAAAGGAACTTTTTGCTTGTTGCATTTTGTGGACTCAGTTTTTCTTCATGAATCGATTGACGCTTAGACATAAATTGCCTTTCTGGTTCCTTTTAGGGGCCCAGCGTAGCTTAAGAAAGTAGATCAAATTAGTTCGACAAGATCAATCGAATTGATTAATACCTCTTTTCAACCCCTTTATTCGACCCTCCTATGTTTGTGACCGCAGAATACTTATCGTTATCCTAACATATTTGGGGATATCAGTTCGCTCATGATTTAAAATGTCAGTTGCTTTTGTTGCAGTGGTGTAAATTCGACGATGAAGTGGTGTCCCGTTGCTATGCGAAGGAAGCAGTAGCCCAGAACTACGGAGGGGTGGATGAACATGACAACTCTGTGAGGAACTGCACCAATGCATACATGCTCGTGTATGTCAGGGAGAGCCACCTGGACAAAGTATTATGCCAAGTAAGTGGTTTGGTTTTATGTGTGATTCTAATGAAGGAGAATTTAATCTGTGAAAGAAAAATTCCGGTATTGAAGGAGAATTAATTTTCATTTTAAAGTTTCTTGTTAAAATTTTCAAATATATATTTTTTTCAGTTTAAATAATACCTTCTTAAATTAGCGCATCTCCTAGGTTGAAGAATCAGAGATTCCTAAAGACCTCATTGATCGATTAGAAGAGGAAAAAACGATCGAGCAGCAGAGACGCAAAGAGCGAGAAGAAGCAGCGCACTACATCAACATGAATGTAGTTAACGAAGAGGCCTTCTACTCGAACAACTCGTGTGATCTAGTCCCGATGGATTCGACTCGATTTGTAGATTTCAGGATCAGAAAAGATGCCAAGTATGACGAGGTAGGTGAGAGTTAATGGTAATCGCTTCCACTCCTCAAGGAACCAACCTTACTCGAGCCGTTAATAAGTAATGTAAAAAACAAAGTACGTTGTCTTAAATGGTACTCTCATCAACCGGCTCAAACATTTAGGTTATCAAAATCCTGCATGATAGCTACGGTTATCCAGAGAACCAAATGCGACTGTGGCCTCTGATAATGCGAGACAACAATACCTTCCGACCCACAGATCTCGAGTGGCCTTCAGGCAAAACATTGATAGAAGCTGCCGATTTGGAGCCGAACGCCCTTACATTCAGAGTGTTTCTGGAACTGAAACCGGTGTTGGCGACTGAATTAACAAAACCACTTCCGTCTTTTAACAAAAACGATCAAATTTGTTTATTCTTCAAGTATTACGACACTCGTTAGTATTAATTTAGTTTAATAAAGGAAATTTTCACGGTTCCATTCAAATATTTGGCAATGCCGTAATAGGTTAGAATAAATAATTCGGTACAGTAATCGAAATAGCTCATTTTACTGGTGCAAAGGAATCTGACGGAATATTTATCATGCAAGGATAGGAACACATGTAATAATCTGAAGCAGAGTTTGTTTTGATGAAGTTCTACAATGACCAATGATATTAACAGTGTCACATCAAATCACGTATATATTTGGCATGGAAAACAGTGTTTTTTTTCGAATCTGTTAATTCTGAATTTCAGAAATCAGCAAGGCTATTTATGTTGGGCACATGTACGTGAATCACAAGAAGATGAAAGTGAAAGATTTGTTTCCTGAGATGTGTAAAATGGCACAAATTGCTCCCTGTGAATTGATCGTGTATGAAGTAAGTGTGTTTTGGCCTTATGTTTTGAGAACCTAAGAGGAGGTTGAAAGATTGAGAGATTGTTTTGTTTCTAGGAGGTGCGATATTACGACTTGGTGCTAGCGAAAGATCATTCTAATAAGTTGTCGGAGGCGTTTCAAGATCTAATGACTGGAGATATTTTAGTATTCCAGAAGAATGACCACAACGTGAAACCACTCGTAACTCCAGGTTAATACTCATCAAGTGCATCAACTGTGTTTGTGTTGTATAGCCTTAACTTTAGCTCTTTCCACCAAACACCCATTTTGCGATGTTTAACAATACTTATAAAATTAAGAAGAAAGAAAGAATTTATTTCTCATTGTTAATGGTAAATATGCATATAACGATAATCTATTATCTATTATATATTTAAATGCGGGCTTCACTATCTCGCCATGCTTAAGCTTTTTCAACGTATTATTTTTGCATGTTTAAGCTATATCGTATATTGCAATGGTTAAGAATTTTTTTCGATTTTCCAATTTGATTTTAGTGGTTATTATACCGAGTTTAAGTTAAGCAGCCCAATTAGGGGTTACCAATTTGGCCTACAATTTTGAATGCCCGAATCATTTTAGCTAACGAGATAAGACGATTTTTGAGATTTTTTAAAAAATTTTCAGAATTTCAAATAACAAAATAATTTACAAAACTTGAAGTTCCCAACCCTGTAGTTGGGTGCTGTCGGAGTACTCTAAGGAGTTACAAATCTTGCCTCCAAATATGACTGTTCAAATCCTTGTAGTTTTCGAGAAAACTTATATTAATTTTTTTTCGCAAAATCTGAAATTCCCAACCCTGAAGCTGGGTCCAGTCAGAGTAATCTCAAAGATTGCGAATCTTGCCTCCAAATATGACTGCTCAAGTGTAGTTTTCGAGATATGACGTTTTTCGTGATTTTTTCAAAATTTTTCTGAAAACTTAAATTATTTTTAGTTTTTATAAATCTGAAATTTCCAACCCTGTAGTTAGGTCCTGTCAGAGTACTCTCAAGGATTGCAAATCTTGCCTCCAAATATAACTGTTCAAATCCTTGTAGTTTTCGAGATATGACGTTTTTTGCGATTTTTTCAAAATTTTTCAGAAAACTTGAATTATTTTTTTTCTTTAAAAATCTGAAATTCCCAACCCTGTAGTTAGGTCCTGTCAGAGTACTCTCAAGGATTGCAAATCTTGCCTCCAAATATGATTGCTCAATTCTTTGTAGTTTTCGAGATATGACGTTTTTTGTGATTTTTTCAAAATTTTTCAGAAAACTTAAATTATTATTAGTTTTTAAAAATCTGAAATTCCCAACCTATAGTTAGGTCCTGTCGGAGTACTCTCAAAGATTGCGAACCTTGCCTCCAAGTCTGACTGCTCAATTCTCTGTAGTTTTCGAGATATGACGTTTTTTGCGATTTTTTCAAAATTTTTCAGAAAACTTGAATTATTTCTATTCTTTAAAAACCTGAAATTCCCAACCCTGTAGTTAGGCCCTGTCAAAGTACTCTCAAGGGTTGAGAATCTTGCCTCCAAATATCACTGCTCAGTTTTTTGTAGTTTTCGAGATGTGACGTTTTTTGTGATTTTTTCAAAATTTTCAGAAATTTTAAATTATTTATTTTTCAAAATTTGAAATTCCCAACTCCATAGTTCGGTGTTGTCAGGGTGCTCTAAAGAATTGCGAAACGCGACTGCTCAAATGATTTTAGTTTCCGAGATGTGACGTTTTTCGATTTTTAAAAAATTTCTCAAAGAATTTATCTACAAAGAAATTCAAAAAATTTGAAACTACTAACTTGATGAAGATACAACCTATTGTCAGCGTACACCAAGGCGTCTCAAATCTTGCCTCTTAATATGAATGCTCAAATCCTTTTAGTTTCCGAGAAAAGACGTTTTTTTTCAATTTTTTTTTCGGGAATCTTAGGTTTAAAAAATTCACAAAATTTTGGATTCCTAACCCTATAGTAGGGTGCTCTCAGGGAGTCTCAGTGGTTGCAAATCTGGCTTCCAAATTTCTCCAGAGGCCCATTAAGTTTTCGAGATGACGCTTTTAAAATGGGAATTAAAAAAAAATTAGAAGTTCGAAATTACCAAACCTGGGTGCAGTCAGAGTACACTAAAAGCTTGCAGATGTTGTTTCCAATATATGCGGTTTTTTTCATGAGTTGTCGAAAAATTTCGAAGCACCGAAGGTGCATTAATTGCTAGTTTAAACATGAAGCACCAGAAACAGCGAGGAGACAGTTAACGAACCAATTGGGTTACAGAGCACTACCCGTTTTATCAAATGAATTACGAAATTTGAGATCTTCAAAGAAAAGGAAAAATCTTTAAATCTGAAAACAGAACAGAAAATATTGGAAAAAAATTACTGAAGTTTGAATAAACATAAAGCAGCAGATTTATGGCATTATCTAGACAGGTTAATGACATAAGTTCCAAGCTCTGCATCAATGTTTAAAATGATTGTTCAATCGTAGTCGGTTTAAAACCAAATTAAATAAGAAAAGAGTTCAAATTCCTCACTCATAATTTCTGAAACTCGCTAGTTGTAGGTACACTATTCGGTTTCAAAAACTAAACGTGAACTTGTTCTGTTTACGGTTACTGCTTCTACTAACTGTGTCCCATCCCTTGAAGCCTCTCTACCATCACTAGAACTGATTGAGGGCTAAAGTGTCAGTAGACACATAACTGAACCCATGCGGTAGTAACCAACGAACAAGGCCAAGTGTGGTTTTCAAAACGCCGAAGATCTATTGAAAACCATATACAATTTTAATTAAAAAACTTGAAACATGAAGGCACTCCACATGTCATTCTCTGGCATTATCCTTGCATCCAAAAAAATGTCAACAAAAAACAAATTTGACTAGCTCTTCATTGCTTAATATAAACAAATCACGAATTTCGTGGGCAATGCGTTGAATATCTGAATTGGAAACTTGATCAAAAATTTTTGGAGTTATGGAATTTTGTCCAAGTGTAACAAAGAGCTTAGCTCCTCTGTAGCTAATTGAAGGTCTTTGAATTTTGCTTTTGAAATTAGGAATTATCATTAAATAAAAAATTGACCTGGTCATATAACGACGGTTTATCAAATACAGAAAACTCATTTAAAAAAGTTTCAGAGTGTAGTCCTGCTATTGATCGCAAGACAATTTTGAGGAGTTCATACACATGCAGCTCGTGAGATCTTAAAAAATTTTCATTATTAAAAACTTCTTGCTTTCTTATTTTCGTTTGAAAAAATCTATCGAATAACTTTCTTTTGGATAAAAAAAGGGGTAAAAGGTTTGTAGGAATTGCAATCATGCACCAATATTCTATATCGCAAAATGGGCTTAATAATAGAGCCATAATATTCCATCATAACAGTTTTGGGAACATAATGACGCATTTTGGAAACAATGCCACATTGTTTTCTAAGTTTTGATCGTATGAAATTTTTGTGAGAATTAAATGATAATTTAGCATCTACATAAACACCAGGATATTTGCATGACCCTTCAATTTTCAAAGGTATACTATTAATAAACAATTGATGGCTGGAAGCACTTAAGAGATTCACTACCTTGTAACATTTTGTCCATATTTAGAGATAATTTATTCAAAATTAACCACTTATTTATAGCTTCTAAGTCTTGATTGAAGCTCTCAACCGAGCAGTTTAGTCCAGTGAAGTTTGTCGTCGGCAAATAGAAAAACTTTGCTAAAATTGCAGACTTGGTAGGTCGTTTATATATATATATATATATATAAAAAACAGCAGAGGCGCCAAAATGGATCTCTGTGGGACACAACATTCCATATTTCGCCACGTTGATCTCGTTTCACCAGTTTAGACAACTTGTTTGCGGTGCTTCAAGTAACTTTTAAACAAAAGTAAATTTTTTCCACTGATACCATACATTTCTAACTTATGAAAAAAAATCTCGTGATCCAGTGTCAAAAATTTTTATTAAGTCAAGAAAAACTGTTCTCTTGGGTGATTTAGTTTTATCTATGCGACATTTCTCTGTTACTTCGGCAATAGCATCACTAGTACTGGTTTTTTTTCGGATTTTTTCGGAAATTGGTGAGTTTCTTTCAAGATATCTTTACACTGTTGTACATTGCTCATTCGAATACCTTACTCCAGGTTACAAGAAGTGATATTGGTCGATAGTTACTGACATCCAATTTTGATCCTGCTTTATATCCAATTTAGATCCTGATTGTGCCAGGATAACATCCTTATTTAGAGGATAGTTCATTGAGTTTTTTCAAGAAGGGAGCATATGCGAATGAACTAGCTTCACCAATTAGATTACTAATTCCATCTATTCCAGAAGATAATTTGTTTTGTAGCGCTGAAAGAATAACTTCAATTTCATATTCAGTGATTGAATTTAAACACGAGGCTCAGAATAAAGTTGATCAGTTTCTGGTTTATATATTTGATTAGCTAAATGACTGCCAAAAGCAGAAAAATAGTCATTGAACTCATTTGCGATAGCTATTTTGTCGCTAACAACGTCGAGACTACTTCCTGTTACCGAAACTATTGTTCTACTTGATGTATTTGTTATTTAGTAGCTTGTATACTTTTCCTTGTCACCATTCCTTGAATTTTTTATGCATGCTATTAGGGCTTAAAACGTGATGTTTTGTTTTATGAAATGAATAAACTGTGGTCGGAATTTTTAATTTGGTTGCGGTTTTACGCTTGCGTTTAGCAAGCGTTATTAAATCGGAATGTAGACTTTTTTCGAGTTAACTACTATTTTAACAAAATTAGTTGAATCACTTGACATGCTCTTCAGCTGACATGCTCAATTTCAATAACTTTCAATAATTCAATAATTCAACTTTTGGTAGGACACTAGTCACTTCTATAGTTTCAGGGGGACTTGAAACTTTTAAAAGTTTTAACAAAATCAGTTTTTTTCGGATCAACTGGTGTCTGCTCAAAGATTGTCGGCCTTGTTGCCGCTTCCTAAGTTTTGTTCAGTTGCTGAAATTAAAATGTCTAGCATAGTATGTTTGTCTAGAATTCCTATTTGATAAAATTGGTGTAATGAAAATTTATGAGATTGGGTTTGTTATTTTACTTTTTTTTCGAGACGCTTGGTAAAATTTTATCTATTTCTACAAAAAATTTAGTGTTTTTTCCTCGTAAAACCTTAAATGGATTTCAAAAACGGTATTCATGGAAAGAACGCTACACGCCTTTGTGCTTGCATGCTCCACTGGTCTCTTTTTAATTTACTCCTTTGTCTACAGCTTTCGAAAAAGTCTGCGGGGAATATTTGACCGATAGTTTTTAATTTTTTCGTTTTCTCGAAAACTAGCCTACCAAATGTGAGATTTTGGTTTCAATTAATGAACAGATTTGAAAATTTCCCTCCATAAGCAATTTTGCCGAAACTTTTCTACACTAAAAATTTTTTTACACTTTTATACACTAATTTACTGCCCTTGGAATTGTCAGTTTTTTTTTTGATTTTTCGACCGTTTTTTGAATCTTTTCTGAACTTTGCTCGAAAAATAAGTTTTTCAGTGTTTCCTTTGTTTCTTGCGTTCATTGATTCTTTGCCAATTGTCTGTTAGCTATGTTTATGGAATCTCAATAGCTTTCAGGCCCTTGTCACTTTTTGATGGGCTAAAATACACGCCTTCAGGTTATAAGATCTAAAGATCTTAGGTTCGAATCCAATCAGGGCCGCATTTTTCGTGTGTAGCAATTTAAAAATTTTTGTATCGAAAACTAGTTTTTGAGTACATTGGTTTGTCCGAAACATAAAATTGATTTGCTTCAAAGCATCATGTTCCTTTTGATTTCAGCTTTTTCAGCTCTGATTCTGTATAAGTTCCTTTTTATTTTGTTTCATTTTTTGCTTAACTGCTCTCTGCTTCAGTTATATCGCCGCCTAAGTTGCCTCATTATGCGTTGTTAAAAAACCAAAAATATACTGTTGTGTTTTTCTTGTTTCGGGAGTAAATGGGGGAATGGAGCGTGAAACGTTCGAGTTTCAAAGCAAGGCGAATTTTTCTATAGCAACATTTGGTTTTTGGCTCAAGTTGCATCTACTCCAGTAATGTCGGCTTATTTGCCAATCGGTAAAGGATTTTGAATGCTTGTTCATTGTTGGTGGTTGTTTTTTTTCTGACATTTAAACTCAAACTGAACATCATGCTAGGCAAACACGAATTTTTTGCCGATTTTTTAATGCGTTTCTTCTACATACTAGCCGCCAGGTTGCGATGCTGTTTTTGTTGAATCGCAAGTGTTGTAAAGTTCCGCTTCGCCTCTGTGTTTATTTTGGTTTTTAAAAATTTGCCTCATTAAAAAATCGATCTATTTATTTTACCCTTATTAAATACCGTAAGTAAGTTAATTTCTGAACTCCTAAACCAATTTTGAAGGGGGAAAGGATATTGTACGAGTGATCTTGCTTGCCAATTGCCCATTGGGCTAGGCGTTTTGTTGTTAGGTGGGGTTCAATTTTGAGTATTTACTGTGGTTTTCAATGCTGAATTTTCATCGTTTGCAATGTTGTTTTCAATGCTGAACTCTCGCCTGACGAGTTAATTGGTTCATACGCGATCACCGATCTTGTGAAAACTTTCGTAGTTGACTTCTTTTTCTTGTAATTATGTAACGTTTCGTGAATGTGCTTTGTGAAGGGATGGAATTGGAGGTTGAGCACTTTCCCCTAGCTAGAGATTACTTCCTCAATCTCTCCTTCATGGTCGAAATCACATTCTTGGAGAGACTGCACAACAACAACCCACAGGCGGCATATGCCCAGTTGAGTCCGGCTGCACAGCAACAACAACAGCAGCAGATGATGTGGAACCAGAAGAACATCACACTCAACATCAACACCAAGTGGACAGTGGCTAAGGTGCGTCCATCTGTAAATTTTTAGAAGAGAAGAACCATATTTAAAGGTGAGATTGTAGTTGAATTTGGCGATCGTTACTCTTGAAAGCCTAAAAGTAGCCAGCTAAAAGCTATGCAGTGTTTAATTAATGGATCTATAGCGGTTCCTGGAAATTGAATGAACAACCCGTAGTATGGTGCCGTTTTTAATTGTAGATGAATGAATTTCACCATAACTTGATTAATGTTATACAAAGACTTATCCTCAACTGGATCATCATCGTTAGAAATTGATCTGTCCTCTACAGCGCCAAACACAATCACCTCTCAGAAAGAGTCCTACTCTCGATTTTGCAAATAGTTCCTAGCGTGGCGGTCGAGAGACCTCGTGATGTCGATTCAAACATAAGATTTTCCCCAATACAGTTTTACATAAGTTCGCATTTTTTCAGACCTGTCAGCTGTTGGGACAGTACCTGAAACAAGACCCCGAGCATATTCAGCTTCTGAGGCCCCAAGGCAACACCAGAAGTCCAGGTGCCCCCAGTCTGAGATCTAACGACTCCGAAAACTGGATTCCCATCCCATCTACATTTGAAGGTAGAATCAATGTGTTTAAGACAGGGCTGTCATATTGTTAACTAAAACGTTTTTAACATGTTAACATGTTAATTATATGAAAAAAACACGTTAAAAACAAAATTGAGTTTTAAAATCACTCATTGAGTTGTTTAAAGAGAAAAGCCAGCTTTCCAGCCTTCTCGACGCCCAAAGAACTTCGGAGTTTTCCATAAGTGAGTCCGAGAGTTGAGAAACACCGCTCCAATCCTGCACTGGAGGAGATAGCATTGGCCAGTGTCGATGCATAGTCGACCAATTCTTTCGAGAATCCCAGTCGAAGTCCACTTCTCCACCAAGCTTCACTCTCGACCTTTTTGTAACCCTCAGCAAAAAGGTATTCGTTATAGGGAGGAACTTTTGCCATGTAATTTGTGAGCTCCGGCATGATATTTTCACCAGCCGTTTCACGGATGTAGTCGATGGCTTGTCTTGTTTCATCCGGATTCTGGTCCTCTCCGGCATACTTGTGATCGAGCAAATTAGCCGCTAGGACGACGGGTAGAATGGCCTGCTGAACTCGTTTGTTCACTTGCATAAATTTCGTCCAGTAACTCTCCACCAATCCTTCGGCGATCTGGAACAGTTGTTCCTGGTCGCAGAAATTGGACAAGCTTCGCGAGATGCTTGTTTGACGCGGCATTAAACGGAGTGTTGGTTGCGATGAAATATCGAGTCACAAGGATATCGCTCTCATGCTGCCTCGTGGGATTAGTGGAGATGACATTGAGAGCTGTCTGTCTCTTCTTTGGAGCCGGCGGAGCAGATGATGTTGTAGTGGCAGAAGATGTGGATTGCTCCTGGATGTCATCGTCATCGTCCACATTCCGGCAATCCCTCATGTGCTTCTCCATGCGTGCCGCATTGTTCACAACCTCAAAACCGCAGGTCTTGCATTTGGCCCGTTTAACGCCGCCAACGATAATCTCTTTGAAGCTGTACCACACGTCTTTCTTCTGCCGCGGCATGACACAATCTGAAATAAATATTTGTTAGTGTATGACGCATGCTGTTAGTACATCATGTGTTAAAAACAATGGTACCAATAGGTGTTATTAACATGTTAAATATAGGTCTGTTAATAACACCTTGTTAATAACATGACAGCCCTGGTTTAAGAGTCAATGAACGTAGTGAAGAGACTTATTAAGCTCGTGATGATGATTTTGTGGTTAGTTTTTTTTTCAGGAAAAAGTCTTAACGTGATGCATTTTTTTCGGAAATTGAAAATGGAACGACATTTTTTTTCTAAATTTCTGTTGGCCCTGTTTGAGTTCCCAGCAAATGTATCAACACTCGTTAACACATTTTTTGTTCGCTATAGGTGCTATCAAAGACATCATTGTTCCACCTGGCTTTGCCACTCCCCCTGGACTGGGTCCTAATGCGGTGCAGTACAGGAACAGGATTAGTGGCACCATGCAAGGAGTCCAGAACCAGCCAATAAAAAGGCTCTGCTTCGAAGTGGTTAGTTAATTGCATTTGATCTAAACGATAGGTATTGAAGAGATTGCTAAAAGGATGCACCTTAACTCAATAGAATCCAAATTCAACAATGGTAATATAAGATTTTGACATTAAAACTATTGATGATGGAGTCTTCTATATCTGGTTGAAGAAAAATGATGCTCATGACTTCGTTTTTGTTTAGTTGGAAATGAAAGTGAGTGAATTTGAGAATCGAAAGAAGATTACAATCGTCATATTTGACTACGAGACCAGAGACGAGGTAAGCTACGTCTTTTGTAAACTAAATCTGATTGATAATTCTTTGAATTCAAATTAATTACCGCAAAAGTTGTCGATGTTTCTATGATCTGTTAAAAAATGGGGCTGTTTATCCATGGCTGTAAGAATCTTCTAGTGAACATTTTGCAGCTCCTTTTTAGCATAACTTTCTTGTTGCAGCACGAGTTCACATTATACCCTTTGAAAGGGGGCAAAGTGGTTGACATTCTGTACGAGGCTGCCAAGAAACTCAACCTAGACTTGAAGGGACCTGTAGCTGCTTCGTCAACAGGAGGTGGAGGAGCGACAGGGGGTCAATCTTCTCCCTCGGGAAGTCAAACTAGTCAGCAGCTGATGATGAAGGAACTAGTTGGTACGTAGCAACTTAGCCGTGCTTTTGTTGATAAATTCGCGGGCGTTGAGATAATTTAGCGAGAGTTAATTTGTTCCCTTGGGATCAGCTAAATCTACTGGAAATTTTCTTCAAAAATCATCTTTCTAACGTTTTGCAGTTTTCTCTACATCATCAGTGTAAACCTCGAGGAACTGTTAATAAGTCTCACATTTTTTCATTGAAGTTCTTAAGACATTTATTATCTTGCATCTACCTTTATCACTTGTCGTTTTTTTTGCTTGTGATTGCTAAGTGCAGATTTGCCTCTGTTTAGATTTAAAGTATACAGTTCTTGTTATTACAGGTCGTCTGAGATTGGTCGAGTTAAATAACTTCAAATGCAACAGTATCATGGACCCTTTCCTGTCCATAGATCACGCACTACAGTCTGTCAGTCAACATGGGAGACAACTCAGAATCGACGTGAGTTTCTGCACAAGCAAACGATTGTTATTATACGAGCTGATTTATTTGATCACGTAGTCAGATAATTCACGGTCGATGAACGTATTGAAAAGTCTTATGCAGTTCTGATTTAATTTATCGGGACAAATCGGGCAACAATGGAACTTCAAAGGCGTTTTTATCGAATTGGGTTAAGATTAGACAAAAAGTAAGGAGAACAAAGTCATTGTCACTATATAAAACCCAAAATCTCTGTATAAAAACAAATTTCAAACATAATGCTCAACTTTTTAGAGAATTTACAGGAGGAATTTTGTTGGGCTGTATAAGAGGCTCCTTTTGATATAGTTTTAGCGTAATTTTTGATCAACTAAAAAGCCAAACTGACCCATTTTGGGGTAAAATTTTGGTTGCGATTTTTTGTGGTGAAACTCTTAGCCTAATCTTAACCCAATTTGAGAAAAACGAGAAAATCTTAATCCAATTTTGTTCATTTCTTCAATCAGCACTGTTATATAGGTCGTGATGATTTTTTTCCGTTTTTTTTCAGTAAAAGTTTTAATTTGTTCACGCTCTAATTTACTTTTTTTTGCGGTTTAACATCTGTTTTTTTTATATGTTCATTTCACTTTCTACGTTAAAACAAAATAATTCCACTATTAAACAGTGAAGTGTAAAAGTTCGCGAAAAACGTGATCGACTCTTGATTTTCAAGATGGATTTTAATTATCAGATTTCCCAGCGAAATAAAAAAGTTGACTTTTGATCCAGTTTTTCCAATTGTATATCAGAAAAGTCTCAAGCATGATTTTTTTTTTGAATTTTTGAGTTTAATAGCCAGCTTTTTTTCAAATTCCCAAGAGATTTTTTTTCAAAAAACTAGTCATTAATTTTTTTCTGTTTACTTGCGTTCATTGACTCTTTTCCAAATATTTGTTGGCTATGTTTTCTCAGCTTGATTCTTTTATGGTTTCAAATCAAGTTGAATTAAAGTTCACTTGAGTTTACCGGGCTGATTTCGTTTTAAGTTCCGTTTCCCGGAGAACCAGCGATCCACTGCCCCGACTGAGATGCTAGTGGGAGTAGCACATTACAGCAAGGAGATTTTCAACTGTTTCGGCACTCCCTTCTACATCCTCTGCACTTCCGACGAGTCCTTCAAAGAGATCAGAGACAGAATCTGTAGATTCCTCGATTTGAGTGACAGGGAGGCGGACAAGATCAAGTTCACTCTGGTCAATCAGAATCAATCCACAGCTGTCACGCCATTCAATTTAGGTTGGTCACACGCAAAATATAAAATCATGATAGGTCTTTCGAAATGTTTTGTTCTGTTAATGATCCATTAGCAATCTTGTCATTAAGTGTCAATGAACGTGTTATGATGCTTTTTCAGTTTTTAAGAGGCGATGAACGTAGTTCAGATACTTATGTAGGTCGTGATGATTTTTTTGCAGGAAAATTCCAATGCTCTAGAAGTGCATTTATATTTATGAATGGACAAATGATTGACCTCAGGTATATATGCATTTTTTGAGTTCAGCTCAAAAACCTTTACTTGAGGAACGGTAAAAGCACTCTCCGTTTATTTAAGCTGAAATGGCGCGGAAAAAGGTTATCGATTTGTAGTTCTGTAAGTGAAATTTAATTTTTAGTTTTCCCAGCAGAATAAAAATTTATCCTAATAATCCAGTTTTTTCAAATTTTTTCAAACTGCCTATTGGCTATGTTTTTAATGCAAATTTTTATTTTTTTCTTGTCAAATTTGATCTCTTGCGGTTTGAATTTTTGATTAAGTTTTCAGTTCGATTCAAACTCATTTGCTTGAAGGAAGTCAAATTGCGCTCTCCACTTACGAATGAGGAAATGGCGTAAAAATATGAACTATCTTTAGTATCGAAGTAGTTTTTTTTTATTGAGATTTTCCAGCGGATTAAAAAAATGTACCTATTGACAGTTTTCTCAATCACAGTTTTTTCAATGAAAGACCATATTTTAAAAAAAAAATCGGTTTTCTTGCATTTATTGTCTTTAATCCAACTGTGTTGGCTATGTTTTTTTTTTGTCTTTGTTCGTGCTAATCGTTCAAATGTTTTTCGTTGCAGAGGAGAAGATCAATATCGTCGCACAGAAAGAAGGTGCTCAGAAGTGGACGCCAAGATCTATGAATTCAACTGTATTTCTTGGATTGGAGCACTCGACGAAAAACGTGGGCAAGAAATCGAGATTTCAACCGTTTGAGAAATCGATTCAGATTTTGAACTGAAGTTGGAGAAACTTCCAGTTTCTAGTCAGGAATCAGTCCTGCTCACCGAAGACTATTTGTTTGCAGGGAATGAAATTCATTCGCACAGTTTTTTCAACGAATTTAAAAGATGTAAACTGAATCTAAATATTGTTTTTTTTTTCAGAAACTTTCATGACGTCTGTAGAAACATTTTTCGTCATATTGCTGCTAATTGTGAATCTAATTAAATATCTGCCCAGATTTAATAAAGTTCATCAGAGCACGACTTGAAATATTTCTTTTAGTTCGAAAAAATAAGATTGGTATTGAAACAATTTTTTCTTTTTAATTCATTTTTTCTCAAGGAACGTGATATTCTAAGTGGCCCTGAATCAAAAGGTCACCTGATTCCGTTTTAGGTATAAAATTTAGACATGATGCGTTTTTTCGTTTTTTAAGCATGAGACTTCATTCCAATCGAAAAGTGTATATAAAAACAATTAAAACACGGTTAGCCGGTTACTGTGCAAGCCGCACAGAATGTTCTGACCACGTTCATAAAAAAACTATAAAACAAAGGTGTTTTCTTTTTCTTTAAGTTAGTGTCATTTTTTGTTTGTGGTGTGATGAGAGAACTATGCAAACGCGTAGAAAACGTAGAAAGTTTGTGAATTAAAAATAATCGACGACAGCAGTTGTCTTCGAAAATGAATAGAAAAGAAATTCAAAATATATCAAAATTTTTTTTTTCAAAATCCTTAAATCTTTATCGATCGCTGATACCCGCTCTGAAGCAGACTAAAACTCAAATGTTTTAAATCCGTTTTTCGCGTCATTTGGTCATCTTTTTAAGAGTCGATTAACGTAGTTCAGATTTTTATATAGGTCGCGATGTTTTTTTTTAAAGAAAAGTCTTAAAATGTGTTCGTCTCATATACTTTTTCGCGGTTTGACTTTTCAGCTTTTAACTGCAGTTCTGTTCCTTGCTTAAAAATTCCCAAATGGAAGGCAAACTCCTTTATTGAAGAGTAAAAGCAAAGAAAAATGTGATCGACTTCTAATTTCTAAAAAGGATTTTCAATATCAGATTGCAAAATGAAAACCCTAACTTTTGATCCAGTTTTTTCAAATTTACGTTATAGTGTTACTTTGTGATCTACCGGTAAAGTCAAGGTTCACAACTCCAGGTGCGACGGGCCGGGTCTTGTACCGAGCAGTTCGCACCCCAATCTCCCTTCTCTGTCCGACATTCACAAGTTCTCCATTTCCACGCGGAAGCACGTATCTGTTTCCTCCGGCAACCTTTGAACCAAGGTCGTGTCTCATTCTTTCGAGAAACTGAAGCGTGCGTCCGGAGTTATTGACAACTGGATCGAAGTTTTCATTCTGAGTCAGTGTGTTCTTCGCTCACCCCCGCGGGGCGGGTGCAAGCATCTTAGGTACGAGGAAGCCAACATGCAAAGACGTCTTCAAAGATGCTTACTCGGGGATGTGGCTTAGCTCTGGCAGGAAGCAACAACTAGTCTTAAAGCCTCTAGCAGCCCAGTTGCTAACAGTGAGACCGGCATCAAGCGGGGCCGTCAACTCGGACATGAGGGCAGCTTTAGAAAGGCCCTTGCCGTCTTCCGTCCTGAGAGTCTTTCCTTAGAAGACTCCGCTGTTTCTGTTCTGAGAGAGAAGCACCCTCTCCCCACGGTTGTCAGCATTCCCGATAACGCCGATGAGACTTTGCTTTGTGTCATTAGCCCAACGACGTTTCTGGAGTGCGTCAGAAGTTTTCCCAGAGACTCCGCTCCGCGGCTGGCGTTTCTAAGCTGTACATTCTCATCTCAATTCTTTTCAGTGTTATTCACCAGCTTATAGTGACCGCGCAGCGTCTTCTATTCTTGACATTGTGAGCCTTCTCGCTCCTAGAGAAGCTCCTTTCGAAATCGGCCCCTACTGTGTGGTGCCAGCTTTCTTGCTTTGAAGAAGAAAGACGGCGGGATACGGCCCATTGCTGTTGGAGAAGTCTTGAGACGGCTTGTCGCCTAGTGTCTTTGCGGCCTTTCCAGTGCTGAAGCGGCATCTCTTCCTGTTCGCCCGCATGCTCTCAACGGTCTGGTCAGCTCCCTCGGCGTCTCCACCGACCTCGCCGTTTTCCAAGTCGACCTGGAGAAAGCTTTCAACAGTTTTAGTGGGTCAGCCATTGTTTCCCGGGTGGCTGAATAGTTTCCGGAACTGCTTCCCTTGGTCAAGTTTTTCTACAGCCAGCCGTCTTGGCTAAAGTTTGGTGATGTTCTCGAGCTCTCCGCCCTGGTGTTGATCAAGATGACCCCCTCGCCCTGCTTCTTTTTGCCTTTAACATCCAGCCGATCCTTGTTGATGAAGTCCCAGTTCCCTGAGCTCCTCTGCAACGTCTCGTACCTCGAAGACGGCTCGCTTTTGGCTAAAGTGGACATCCTCGCTCAGGCCGTCAGCTTCATTTGTTCCTCGATAAATAGTATTGGTCTTTAGGTCAGCGTTGAGAAGTGTGTGTTGTAGTCCCCCAACCCTGATCTGGATACCAGCCTTTTCCCGCCGGAAATCACTATCCATGGGCTTGGCTTGAAGAACCTCGGCGCTCCAGTTTCCGACGACCAAGTGTTCGTTCAGGGGATGTTTTCCAAGCGTATCGAGCAGTGCAAAGAACTCATGGAGTCTGATCGCTTGCCCTTCGCCAGTTGGCGCTTCACCTTATTCGCAGCTGCGCTGTGCTTCCGAAGATCATCTTCAGCCTTCTGACCTGCGACCCCAGCTCGGTCTCTTCGCCCCTCTCAGGTTTCGACAGTGCTGTTCACAGTGCTCTTGAAGCAATAACAGGCTGCGCTGTTTCCGATAGTCAACACTTGCAGTCTTTGCTGCCAGTTTCGAAGGAGGCATTGGGCTGCCCAACGCCTCCAAGCTCTGCCATGCCGCGTCTCTAGGCAGGTATGTCGACGCCGAGACCCTCGCTGAAGTCAATGGCGCCAGCTGGTGTGAGTATCTTGCTTCGGCTGCCACGGAACGTGAAAAAACCAGGTGGTTGTTCTGCTCTGGCCAAAAAGCATCTTAGGTACGAGGAAGCCAACATGCAAAGACGTCTTCAAAGATGCTTACTCGGGGATGTGGCTTAGCTCTGGCAGGAAGCAACAACTAGTCTTAAAGCCTCTAGCAGCCCAGTTGCTAACAGTGAGACCGGCATCAAGCGGGGCCGCCAACTCGGACATGAGGGCAGCTTTAGAAAGGCCCTTGCCGTCTTCCGTCCTGAGAGTCTTTCCTTAGAAGACTCCGCTGTTTCTGTTCTGAGAGAGAAGCACCCTCTCCCCACGGTTGTCAGCATTCCCGATAACGCCGATGAGACTTTGCTTTGTGTCATTAGCCCAACGACGTTTCTGGAGTGCGTCAGAAGTTTTCCCAGAGACTCCGCTCCGCGGCTGGCGTTTCTAAGCTGTACATTCTCATCTCAATTCTTTTCAGTGTTATTCACCAGCTTATAGTGACCGCGCAGCGTCTTCTATTCTTGACATTGTGAGCCTTCTCGCTCCTAGAGAAGCTCCTTTCGAAATCGGCCCCTACTTGTGTGGTGCCAGCTTTCTTGCTTTGAAGAAGAAAGACGGCGGGATACGGCCCATTGCTGTTGGAGAAGTCTTGAGACGGCTTGTCGCCTAGTGTCTTTGCGGCCTTTCCAGTGCTGAAGCGGCATCTCTTCCTGTTCGCCCGCATGCTCTCAACGGTCTGGTCAGCTCCCTTGGCGTCTCCACCGACCTCGCCGTTTTCCAAGTCGACCTGGAGAAAGCTTTCAACAGTTTTAGTGGGTCAGCCATTGTTTCCCGGGTGGCTGAATAGTTTCCGGAACTGCTTCCCTTGGTCAAGTTTTTCTACAGCCAGCCGTCTTGGCTAAAGTTTGGTGATGTTCTCGAGCTCTCCGCCCTGGTGTTGATCAAGATGACCCCCTCGCCCTGCTTCTTTTTGCCTTTACCATCCAGCCGATCCTTGTTGATGAAGTCCCAGTTCCCTGAGCTCCTCTGCAACGTCTCGTACCTCGAAGACGGCTCGCTTTTGGCTAAAGTGGACATCCTCGCTCAGGCCGTCAGCTTCATTTGTTCCTCGATAAATAGTATTGGTCTTTAGGTCAGCGTTGAGAAGTGTGTGTTGTAGTCCCCCAACCCTGATCTGGATACCAGCCTTTTCCCGCCGGAAATCACTGTCCATGGGCTTGGCTTGAAGAACCTCGGCGCTCCAGTTTCCGACGACCAAGTGTTCGTTCAGGGGATGTTTTCCAAGCGTATCGAGCAGTGCAAAGAACTCATGGAGTCTGATCGCTTGCCCTTCGCCAGTTGGCGCTTCACCTTATTCGCAGCTGCGCTGTGCTTCCGAAGATCATCTTCAGCCTTCGGACCTGCGACCCCAGCTCGGTCTCTTCGCCCCTCTCAGGTTTCGACAGTGCTGTTCACAGTGCTCTTGAAGCAATAACAGGCTGCGCTGTTTCCGATAGTCAACATTTGCAGTCTTTGCTGCCAGTTTCGAAGGAGGCATTGGGCTGCCCAACGCCTCCAAGCTCTGCCATGCCGCGTCTCTAGGCAGGTATGTCGACGCCGAGACCCTCGCTGAAGTCAATGGCGCCAGCTGGTGTGAGTATCTTGCTTCGGCTGCCACGGAACGTGAAAAAACCAGGTGGTTGTTCTGCTCTGGCCAAAAAGCATCTTAGGTACGAGGAAGCCAACATGCAAAGACGTCTTCAAAGATGCTTACTCGGGGATGTGGCTTAGCTCTGGCAGGAAGCAACAACTAGTCTTAAAGCCTCTAGCAGCCCAGTTGCTAACAGTGAGACCGGCATCAAGCGGGGCCGCCAACTCGGACATGAGGGCAGCTTTAGAAAGGCCCTTGCCGTCTTCCGTCCTGAGAGTCTTTCCTTGGAAGACTCCGCTGTTTCTGTTCTGAGAGAGAAGCACCCTCTCCCCACGGTTGTCAGCATTCCCGATAACGCCGATGAGACTTTGCTTTGTGTCATTAGCCCAACGACGTTTCTGGAGTGCGTCAGAAGTTTTCCCAGAGACTCCGCTCCGCGGCTGGCGTTTCTAAGCTGTACATTCTCATCTCAATTCTTTTCAGTGTTATTCACCAGCTTATAGTGACCGCGCAGCGTCTTCTATTCTTGACATTGTGAGCCTTCTCGCTCCTAGAGAAGCTCCTTTCGAAATCGGCCCCTACTTGTGTGGTGCCAGCTTTCTTGCTTTGAAGAAGAAAGACGGCGGGATACGGCCCATTGCTGTTGGAGAAGTCTTGAGACGGCTTGTCGCCTAGTGTCTTT